CCACTTCTGCTTCCCAGAGAAAACACTTTCAGCTGTGTGTGTGTGTGTGTGTGTGTGTGTGTGTAACTTCACATTTCTTAATCACATGCTAATCGCGCTTTTCCTTGATTTCGAAACGTTAGCTATTGATTATCCTCTATGGAGAGTGAGGTCTTGGGCCTTTTATACACTCCTCTCTCACCCCGGACTCACTTCCCTTTCCCTCGTCTTCCCAGTGCACTTGTATCATAATGTCTGGTTAGGTAAATAAGTGGCATTTTCATTAATTTGATCATGTAAATATAACTCACTAAGTTGAGTCACATGTTCTAATGTTGTAACATTTCCTTTCTTAGATACTACATACTTCTTTTGTATAATTTTTATGTTAGTAATTGCCTTGTTTTCTCTTTGGCTTAGTTTCTGAGGGACCTGTTTCTAAGTCCTCCCCAAACTCTCCGGCATCTGTGTCAGTCTCATCTGGTACGTGTGAGGACACCAGGTCCTATGTGCATCTTCCTGGGACCGTCAACCTCCTGCTGCAGCCCAGGTCGGTCGTTTTCCATGCTCTGTGCCTGGGACATCCCAACACCAGCACCGTGGAATGTCCTCTGCTCTGTCCACTGTGGGATCACCTGACTCCAAGGTCCCTTCCCCAGAGGACACAGATTCATCATTTTCACAACATCAACATGAGGCCACAGAGCCTCAAAGGAATAAAGGCCTGTCTTCTTTCCTATTGAACATTTAATCTCATTTTGTGTTTTTAAAGTTGTAATTGGATTTGATGCCGTTTCATGTAAAATAAATTCTCCCTTTTAACATCTATGAGTCACAATTTTTAGTTTTAGCATGTTATCTTTCAAGAAGGCAGCAGGGCAATTGAAGATGTGTTAAATACAGTTAAATTATAGAGAAAAAAGTGCTTTTTTGCTTTTGAAATTTCAGCTGCACATGAAAAGCTTTGAGTAAAGTGGGTGACAGATCTGTAATGTGCTCAAATGGAATAACTTATATTTTAGGATTTCCAAAATCGACAAGATAATCCAAAGTGTTCACATATGGAATTAAATGCCTATGTAAGTAATCCTAGACAGAATCTCAGCAAAGATTTTTATAAAATTGATAAGCTGATTCCAACATTTTTATGAGACTGACAAAAGCAACCTTGTATAAGAAGAAGAAGAAAAAAGAATCAAAGTACCAGAAATGAAGATTTATTTAAAATCATAGTAACAGAGCCAGTGTGGTATTTGTGCCTGGACAGACAGACAGACCAATGGAGCATCATAGGGAGTTCAGAATAAAGGGAGTCCAGAAATGTACGTATATACATTCACCTGGTATGACAAGGTGACCCTGCAGTGCATTGGAGGAAGGGTCTTTTCAATAAATAGTGCTGGCATAACTGATATCCACATGGAAGAAAAACTCTTTTGACCCTTAGGTCATACACTTTACAAACAAATCAACTCCATTGTATTTAAAATCTAAATGTGAGAATAAAACAATAAAGCTTTTATTAAAAAAAAAAAAAAAAAACCCAGGGAGAAATCTTCATGACTTTGGAGTAGGCAATGATTTTTTTTATTTAAATAGTATACACCTGACTCACATTAGAATTAAAAATCTATTAAAAGAGTTCAAAGAATCTATTAAGAGAATTCAAAGTGAAACCACACATAAGAAAGGGATATTTATAATATGTTTGAAAAGAAACAAATGAATAAGAAACAATCAAATAAAAAATTGGCAAAAAGACTTAAATAGGCACTTTACAAAGTATATACTGATCACCGATAATCACATGAGAAGATGCTCAATATCATTAATCATTAGGATACTTAAAACCATAATGAGATTCCTATTCAAACCCACCAGAATGGCCAAATTAAAGAGGCTTGCTGGTTGGTGAGTATGTGGAGACACGGAAACCCTTGTACATTGATAGTGGGAATGTGAAATGGTGGAAAATAATATGGTGGTTACTCAAAATGTTAAACATAGACTTACCATGTGATACAACCATTCCACTTCTGGGTATGCACCCCAAAGGACTCAAAGCAGGGAATGAACAGAAGTCTGTTCATCAATGTTACTAGCAGCATTATTCACAAAAGATGAAAACAACCTTAATGTCTATTGATGGATAAATGTATAAAGAATTATGATATATACATACAATGCAATATTATCCAGCCTTGAAAAGGAATGAAGTTCTCATACATGATGAAAGATGGATGAATCTTGGAGACATATTGTAACTGAAATAAACCAGACACAAAAAGACAAATATTATATCGTTCCACTTATATACAGTACCTAGACTAATCAAATTCATGGAGAACAGAGAGCAGAATGGTGATCGTCGGGCCTGGAGGTCACCAGCGAGCAAACCTCAAAGGCACGGAGTTCCGGTTTGGAATGACGCGGAAGTTCTGGAGATGGTGGCAGCGACGGTGGCAACAATGCAAATGTGCTTAACAGCCACTGAACTGTACACTTAAAAAGGGCTCATGTGGTACAGTTTATGCTTTGTACATTGTACCACAATAAAAAAAGAAAAGAGGATTTTTTTCATTCTTTGGTAATGGGTGTGTAAATTGGTACTAATATTTTGGAAAACTCTGGTCAGTATCTACTGCAGCCGAATATATGCCTGCCTTTATCATCCATGAATTTCATTCCTAGTTGTACATTGCCAATAGAAATTAGTACATATCTCAAAAATAGGGACAAGAGTGTTCAGCAATATAAATCTTATGAACTAAATATGAAAATACTCAAATGTCCATCAATAGCATAACACATAAATAGAGATATATTGATCATAACTGGCATCATAATACACAAAGTTCATTGCAAAATGAAGTGCAGGTGCTTTGTTAAGAATTGATTAAGGCCTGGTTGGTGTGGCTCGGGATGAGTGTCGACCCTGCACCAAGAGGTCACCAGTTTGATCCCTGGTCAGGACACATGCCCAGGTTGTGGGCCCGATCCCCAGTGGGAGGCATGCAGGAAGCGGACAATTGATGTTCTCTCTCATCGATGTTTCTATCTTTCTCTCCCTCTCCCTTCCTCTCTCTCTAAAATCAATAAAGAAAAAAATTTTTTTTAAAGAAATAATTAAGAATTTCAAGATGTCAACAGCAGAAAATTAAACCAAGCAGGAGGTATGTGCATTCTTCGCTAGCATTCCCATGAAGACTGCCCTGATACTGATACAAGGTGTTATAACTCAGTGCCATTGACCCAAACTCCCAGAGGCCTTCATGACAACCAAAGGGGTTGTCAGTTTACTCATTTACTGAAGAACATTCTTCACTAACTAATCCCTAAGTAATCGCTAACCCTGGGGTAATAACTAACCCTTGAGTAATCTTGGGCGGTGCCAGGGATAATCTATTGAAAACATCTTGACCTTTGAGATGTCTGGGAAACTGAGTAACAAGTAATTAACTAACTGCTAAATTCCGCTTCTGTAACAAGCTTGCTTACACTTAGCACCCCCCTTACAAAATCCTATAAAAAGGAGCCATGTTAGCTCTCCTGGGCCGCAGTTACTCCTGTGTGGGACATACTGCAGGTGCCTGTGGACTTAGCTCAATAAACTCCTTTTGTTAAACCCCATCTCGGCGTCTGAGTTTGGTCGATCTCCTGGGTTACAACAAAGGAATACTACATAGCAATAAAGAAAGAACAAAGTACTGCTACATAGAACAAGTGCGTAAATTTTGCACATATATGATGAGTAAAACAAGTAACACACAAAAGAGAATATGCTATATGATCTAATTTATATGAAAATTAAGTTTAAAGAAAATAACATACAATGATAAAATTTAGAATCGTGGCCACTCCAGGGATTTATTGGATGAAAAGGGGTACGAGAAAGCCTTCTAGGGTTGTCAAGATGTTCTATATCTTGATCTGGATTGTGGACACACAGATACATACATGTGTAAAAATATAAATAACAATACGTCAGATCAAATATAAAAGCACCATAGGTGTGAGTGTTCCAACCCTGCTGTCCCTTTTATCTAGGCATCAATCTGAATCTTGTGCTCTGGCTCCTGTTTTGGGGGTGCCGTTCCATGGTTGTACGGCTGAGAGCAGTGGAGGAAGACCCTTCATGCTCTCTGATTTATGGCACTCACAACTCCATTTTCCACTGGCAACACCTGCCATTCTGGGATAACAGCAGCGCCAGTTCATACTCAACAGATGCAGAAGTCTATCTAGGATACTTGGGTCATGAGCAAATGTGCCTCATACTTTACCCTCACTTTTGTAATATGACATTGCAGAGGCTCTCCTTTTCCATTGCAATATAAATAATAGATTTACCGTAAGAAAAAATACATGTTTAGGCAGGAAACTATTTTTTATTAGAAAAAAACAAATAAATCAGAACAAATTTACTCTGATAGTAGAGGCCATTCAGCAAGCATGTATTTCTGACTAGTGCAATCAGCTGAGGGAGCCCTGGGCATAGCATGGCACCGCAGGGTCTGAACTTACGGATTTCTTTTTGAAACAATGCATGTGTCAACTGGAAAAGGGCAAAGAGGCACCAGCCAAAAAAACTGTCTGCCTCCTCATTGACATGAGAAGTGCCATTTCGCTTCTTATGTGAAAGATACTTCTCTGCTATGCATCAACCTCTCTGATAAATCATCGCTATTATTTCTGTTATCATTGTTGAAAAAAAGTTGTGTTTATTATCCTGGGATATTTTAATATTGTGTGGAGGAAATGAACCAGCAGGAGGTACGCAGGGTCGGACGCCCGGCGCCTGGGAGGTACAGGTCAGGTTCTGGGTGGCGGCCCCAGGGCACGGGATTGCACAAAGCTGCACCCGAGGACCACGCGGCCGAGGCCAGGCTAATTCTGTCTGCAAGAGGCCCCCGTAGTCGCTGCCTCCCGACGGCGCGTGTGCGCCCGCGGCCGGGAGTGACGTCACCGGTCTGGGCGGTGCCGGAGGCGTGGCCCGGGCATCCCGTGCGGCGCGCGCGGGACGTTCAAGCGTCGGAGCGGGAGGTGCGGCCGCCATGAGCCTCTGGGCGGACAAGTACCGGCCCTGCTCGCTGGCGCGGCTGGACTACCACAAGGAGCAGGCGGCGCAGCTGCGCAACCTGGTGAGCCGGCGGGCGGCGACGGCGAGGGCGGCTGCGGTCCCGGGCGGGCCGCGGAGATGGCCGCCCGCGCCCGCACACGCCCAGCCTCCGTGCCGGCCGGGGCTCGGTGCCCGGGGCGCGCGCGGGAGCCCGGGACAGCAGTGGCCCAGGGCGGGCGGAAGTGGGTGTGCGCGCCGTGACGTCATCTCCGCCCCTCCCCCGGCCGCCGAAAATCCCGGGCCGGGGCCTCCTTTACAGACGGGAGGGGCTGCGTCCGTTCGTCTCTGCGCTGTTTGTGGTCCCGCAGGCCTGGGACGTGTCCCGTGCAGGCTGTGTCCGTGCTGGCGCTCGTCTCCGTGTGCGCAAGGGCGCGGGCCGCGGACGGGCTGGCTTTCGGGCCTGGACCCAGAGGGTCGCCCGCGCCCGAGTTTTGGACGCGTTCCTTAGCCTGCTCCGAAGAACCGAGGAGCTCCGTGTGCGATGAGAGTGTTTGCTCAGATACTATTTCAGTACTTTTTTAAGAATGAGAACTAATATAGAAGGAACCCCATTGTTTACATGAAAGTCACTAAAAAAGTCGATAGTGTGAGATAGGTTTTTTCCCTCTTCTTTAATTATTGGTGTTCCATCTATGCACTTTAGATCGTCATGTGTAGACAAATCGCTACTTCTCACAATGTTTTCGCTTCAATTTTTTAGACAAAGGATACATTTTACATTATTTTGTATGGCTTTTTTTTTTTTTTTACAGAATTTGGAATAAGTGCTTTGGATAGAAATTCGATACACTCGTCTTATAACTGAACAGATTTGCTTTTAAGAAATGTTTAGTTCTTTACTGTTGAATCTACGATTTAATAAAACTATGAAACATTTAAAGCATAGCTTCTGCTTTTGGTTAGATCCAAGTTTAAAAACAAAGGCAGCTAGTATTTGAGGAGCATGTACTATTTTCTATGTGCTGTATTAGTTGAACAGTCCCTGTCCTTGCGACTTTGTTTTCAGTGCCAGAAATAGATGAGTTTACAGTCTTAACATGTCCTGTAAAAAGCACTTCTCTTAAGATACCTAACTCATTTTTCCTGTAATGGTTACTTACAAAACTTTTGCTCCACAAGATTCTATACACCCGGGGCACAGATGTGTTCTCAGCATCTTCATAGCCTTCATCTCGATTCCTAAACCTGACTCTTCATGAGAATCACCTGGGAAGCTTTGGCAACAACACGCAGTGTGCACTGCGGTGCTCGCCTGGGTCCCCTTGCTCTTACCTAGTGAGTGCGCAGACTGACTTTCTCTTTCCTGTGTTTGCACTCCCTGACACCCCTAAGCCCACTTGTGGTGCCTGGGGATTGATGTGGCGCATCCACTTTCCCAGTCGGGCTTCAACAAAGGATTGTTGAGAAAGCCTGTCAGACTCCCACTTCTGTACGTTGAGTGGGTTAATACTGGGGTGTATTTTAACACTGGCTTCAAGGGTGTCCCCAGCAGGATCAAGCCCCAAGTGTCCAGAATGGTATTTAAATTGGTAATACACTCTGCCTTCTTTTGCTTCATTACAAACTCTTTCTTTACCTCCCAAGTAAACCAGATATACTCAATTTTTATCAAAGGGACTGTTTGTGAAAACCCAAAGTAAGACAGGTATTAATCTCAGTTACTGAATTATAATTTGATGGAATGGGCCCAATAACCAATCAGTCTTTCATTTTAAAAAGTTCTCTAGGAGATTCTGTCAGTCAGCCAGGTTTGGGAGTTATTACTGTCTAGCATATGGTGTTGTATCAAGCATGTACTATGCTAGTTAAATAGTTATATAAAATTAATGCCAGAGAGTAATCAACATTCCAGAATTAATTTTTTAAAATCTCTATATGTACATTCATACAAACACATATATAGTTTTGAAGTTTCATAGGTAGAGATGCAAAATATTATACTTAAAAAAAGTTTAATTCTAGCCCTGGCCGGTTGGGCTCAGCGGTTAGAGCGTCGGCCTGCGGTCCAGAGAGATCCAGGTTCGTTTCCCGCTAAGGGCACGTACCTCAGTTGCAGTTTGTCCCCGGCCTTGGTTGGGTCATGCAGGTGGCAGCCACTCGATGTGTCCCTTTCACATCCACCTCCCTCTCTCTCTCTCTCTCTCTCTCTCTCTCTCTCTCTCTCTCTCTTCCTCTCTCTCCCTCTCTCTCCCTCCCACTCTATCTGAACAAAACATGGAAAAAATGGGTGAGGATTAAAAAAAAAAGTTTAGTTCTACCTAGAACACATGTATGATTAGGAAAATGCCTCATTTTTTGTTTTTGTTTTCCCTAGGTGCAGTGTGGTGACTTTCCTCATCTGTTGGTGTATGGACCGTCGGGTGCTGGTAAAAAGACGAGAATTATGTGTATTCTGCGTGAACTTTACGGTGTTGGAGTGGAAAAATTGAGAATTGAACATCAGACCATCACAGTAAGCATTTCCGTTTGAGGCCCTCCAAATATTTATAGCAGGGATTGTCAGTCCTCATCATCCGTACATCACCCTCTCATTGCCGCTCTGTGTGTGATTAAGTAAGACTCCCAGGTAATCTGGTGCACAGGATTGCGAGCTACTGTACTGCTTCATAGACCTAGTCATGTAACCGACCCAAGTCAGTTATGTTAGAGAGGAAATATGAGCAGTAGGAGATTGGGGTACATGTGGGCGGTAGGAGTCAGTGTAGATCACCTAGAAAACCAGTGGCTCAGCTGGACTAGAACCCGAGTTTCTAAAGCTCGTTGTTCTGAGAGCGGTAGTGGTATGGAAAGAAAGGGAATGATCTCGAGCAAAATCGTAAACATGGAATAAGGCCACGTGGTAAGGATTGGCAGCTGACTGCTGGGAAAGGGGGCATGAGGCTCTGGTGGGCGGAGGGTTCCCGAGACCTGGGCCTGGCTGCGCTTTCCAGTTTCCTGTCCTGCAGTGCATTTCTGTGCTTTGTTTCTAGACCGTGTTTAAGGCCTAGCTGGACTGTCTCCTCTCAGAGGGTCCCCCAACTCCAATAGAATTAATTTTTCTTTGTACTACCCAGTTTATACATGTAGAGCACTTTGTTTTGCCTTACGTTATACATGTTATTGGCATTTCATATCTTTTACTTTGACAAGGTAGTGTTTACTTTGAATTGTGTAGGGAACACGGCATGTCCCTTTTCATACCCTTCATACCATCGCCGTGCTGTCTTGTGCACGTCAGACATTGAAAACTGCTGAGTGACGATGGGAAGTAGTGCTATTAATAGAATATTTAGGATGATAGATTCAAGGCTGATGCTGATTAGCTTGTGTTTAGACACAATGAGTTTGATGTGCATCCTGGTGGAAATTCTTATAAAATATGCAGGGAAAAATTTAACAAGAAAGATGTGGAATCTGTTGGAAGAAAACTATAACGTAAAAGGACAAAAAAGAAGTGATCAAATGAGAAGATGCAGTATGTCCTCAGATACATCGTTTAATATTTAATATCTCTTCTCCCCCGGAGTGTAAATTTCAATCAGTAGAATTAAAATCCAACTTGTTTTTTAATTGTATGAGATTGTTTTAAATTCATTTTTTTCTTTATTGACATTAGAGAGAAAAAGGAAGGGAGAGGGAGAGAGAGATAGAAACATTGATGAGAGAGAACATCAATTGGCCGCAGGCCCACAACCTGGGCATGTGCCCTCAAATGAATAGAACTGTGACCTCTTGGTGGATGGGTCAATGGTCAACCACTGAGCCACACCGGCCAAGCAGTTGTATGACTTTTTTTTTTTTTTTTGTGGTACGTGCCCCTATCAGGAACCGAACCTGGGACTCTCTGGCCCGCAGGCTGACGCTCAACCACTGAGCCAAACTGGCCAGGGCAGTTGTATGAAATTCTTAAAGTACGTATGAAAGAATACATTTCTGAGACTAGCTAAAGTAATTATTAAAAAGATTTGTGAAGTAGCACTAGCATTGACAGATATTAAATTATATTGTAAAGCTATTAAAGTCAAAGCAATATTGTCTTGGCAGGGTACGGAGAATTAGGTCAGCAGAACTTAATAGCCCAGAAATAAGATGGAGAGCCTATTTCAGATCGGTGGGAAAAGGGTGTCAGTACTATGTGCTAACATAACTAGGTACCCAGAAGTTGAAGAAGTTGTTGAATATGATACCTAATAAAGATAAATTTCGGATGAAGTAAAGATTTAAATGTTAAAGTGAAACACTAAATTTCTTTGAATAAAATTCCTTAAATATAGCCCATGGGTCAAGAACACCTTTTGACAGAAAACATGTTTATGTGCACAGTAACAAAAGAATGGGTGAAGTTAAAACATTAGTCATGGTTATCTAAAGTTCTGTTTTGGTAAGCATAAATTATTTATGTAATCAAAAACCAGTGAAATACAGAAAAAAGGAGAGCCAAAGAAATGAATGTTAAAAAGATCTATTTTCTTTGTCCTCAGACTCCATCTAAAAAGAAAATTGAAATTAGCACTATTGCAAGCAATTACCACCTTGAAGTTAATCCCAGGTAAGCTGCTACTATATAGAAAAAAGCATTTTTAGAATAGTGGTGTTCAGACTTATTTTTAAAGAGGAGAATCCTTTCTTAAAGTAAACTCATGTATGGAAACACAATATATAAAAGAGATAAAGTGAAGCTGCCCTGTGTGGAATTGAGAGCCTAGACCCACCTCACTTTGTCTTCTGTTTGATAACCCCTCATTCAAATAATGTTGATGATTTAAGTTTTCTTGCTTTACAGAACTTGTGTTTTACATGAAGTACATTATATAGTAGGGTTTTTGTTTGTTGGTTTGTTTAAATCCTCCCCTGAGGATATTTTTCCATTTATCTTCAGATGGAGAGGGAGGTAGAGAGAGAGAAAAACATTGATGTGAGAGACATGTGGATTGGTTGCCTCCCAAGGCACCCCAACCAGTGCCAGGGACCAAACCACAACCGAGGTACGTACCCTTGACCGGAATCGAACCTGAGACTCTGGTCTGCGGGCCGACACTCTGACCATTGAACCACCCGGTCAGAGCATGTAATAAGTTTTTAAAGAAATATTGACTCATTGAGAACTGATGAGCAAGACTGAATGGAGCAGGAGGAATAGAATTACAAGCTAATATGTATGTATTCAGTATAAGGCACCCTGAGAAAAGGTTTACATGGATTGTTATATTTGGTCCTCAAAACAACCTTAACAGACAGGTATTATTGTTATTATTTTCTCTAGGTATGTCAAAGGAATTTAAGAGAAATAAGGTTGGTGAAAAGGAGCTGATCATAAAAGTAGAGAAAGTGTTAATTTCATAGACAAGGAAAATGTATTGGATTCTTGACTAGAAAATGATCATTAAAAAGACACTCCAAGTATATTGATCTAATAATAGAGAATTGAAAAAGATTTGGGAATATTAATAAAGCTGATTGCTTTGCCCTTTTTTCTCATTGTGAATTCCTCTGTAGCAAGAATAGTCCATTGGAGATTAAGCTGGTTGTTTTTCAGGTGTTTGACATTCAGCCTAAACTAACCAGGTGACTTATGTTGGTTTGTGAGGCACATGACTTAAATGCTAAAGCAGTATGTGGGTATAAGTGACAGATAATGCCTATAGTAAGTCAAGAGAGTTCTGACTTTGTGTCTTAAACTCCATTTGCTTATCCCATTGCCTTGCTAAGGGAGTCAGCTCCATGCTCGTGCTGGGAGCAGGTGTGTCTAGACTTGTCCTCTCAGATCTTTGTTATCATGATGATGATTGGAGGTTAAATTTGTTTCAGAGTTATTTTTATATTTTGAAGAATTATAGATAACTAAGAAATTAGCTGTGACTAATTAGTAACTGTTTTGTACAGAAGTGTTAATTGTCAAACTGTTACTAGTTATTGATCTTTCTAAGTAATAGTAAAATTTAATGAACAGATTTAGTGTTTTCAGTGATGTTAGTTAAATTGTAATTGAGTATTGGAATAATTGTTAGTAATTTTAATAACCCTAAAAATATCTCAGGCATAATACTTTCAAGTTACGTATGTGTGTGTGTTTTTTCAATCATTATTTTCGTTTGCATAGCGATGCTGGAAATAGTGACCGGGTGGTAATTCAGGAGATGTTGAAAACAGTGGCACAATCCCAACAACTTGAAACAAACTCTCAGAGAGACTTTAAAGGTATGTAATAAAAAAACTTCTTTTTATTAGGCAGACACTCAAATTGTAAGGAATGTATATGAGAGGAAATGTAATGAGAAGTTGTAAAGTCCATCCATTTAACAAACATTAACCATCTGTTCTATGCCAAGCATTATGCTGCTTTTGGGGGCGGGGAATCTAAAATTGAGTAAGAGAATTCATGATCTCTGCTCATGGGAGTTTATACATAGTGCCGTGGAAGTGAATTTTGGTGGAAAGAAGACTATTTGTGCCACCTGTTTGTTATTTTAGAAGCAAATGAATAATAAAAAAACTGTATTTAAAATAAGGTTACATGATTTAGAAATAACTGTTCTTAGGACCAAAGTTTTATGTTTATTATTAAATATTTAAATACATTTAAAAAAAGTAAAACTAGCTCTAACCCATCATTGAGAGACAATTCTTGTAGCACATTTGTCATTACCTTCCAGGATCATGCATGTGCAGATATATGCACATATTCTTATAGAAGACTTTGTGATGATAAATATGCCAACATTTAGCGCTTTTGATGGGTTTTGAAAAATTCTTCATCTAATTGAGTATATGTTTATATATCCTCACCGGAAATGGGAAGTTCCTATTTCTTCCCAACATTTGTCAACACTGTGGATAATTATTTTTAATCTTTGTTAGATTTAGTTAAGAAAGTAAATTGTGCTTTTTGTTGTTTGTTTGTTTTTAGCAAGTGTCGTAATTCTTCTTTGGTTCACTGCTCATTTTACTGTTTTGTGAATTGCTGTATATATTCCAGCCTATTTATCTTTCCTTCTCAGTCTGTATTTCAAAATAAACTTATATTTATTTTTGCTACTATAAATGGAGTCTTCTGATATTTGCTTTTTTGTTTACATATATGATAGAAATTGATGTTTGTCTTAATTTCGTATCCTACTATGTTACTAAATTCTCTTACTGTCTGTCATAGTCTTACATTGCTTCTTTTGGGTTTTTCAGATAATGCATTCATGTCATCCGTAACTAGAAATGGTTTTCCCTCTTCCTTTCTAATCCGTGAGGCTTTAAGTGCTGCCGCTTGTGAATCATGTTTAGCAGCACCTCCAGTACAGTGGTCGATAGCAGAGACAGTGAATGTTTCTGTCGTGACTCTGGGAAGAGGGGAGAGCTCAAGGTTCCCCATTTAGTTAGTTGCTGGATCTTGACCTGAGGTGTAGCTATTTGATCATTGTAAGAAAATATCCATAATTTTCTATTTTATTGAGTGTTTCTAACATGAATGTGTGAAATTTTTCAAATGCTTTCTTTGCATCCATGACTTTTCTTCTGAGTTCTATTAATATAATAGATTATATTACTGGATTTTCTAATGAAACTGCTTTACATTTCTAGAGTAAACCTTACTTGGTCATGTACTGATTTTTTAAATATGCTGCTGTTTTCTGACTACCAGATTTATTTTTGTATTATTTGGTTTTTACTACTCTTTATTAGATTACATTTTGGGATCAATCTCTTTGTCTCTATTTTTCCTGTTGTGTTCAGTTTGGATTCTCTTTCCAGAGTTTCTCCTTATTGTGAAATATTGTCTTGGAAGGGAACCTCATTTTGTTATTTTCAGTCTACTGCTCTGTCAAACCTTATTTTTTATTTTTATTTTTTTGGTACGTGCCCCTACCAGGAACCGAACCCAGGACTCTGGTCCGCAGGCTGACGCTCCAACCACTGAGCCAGTCCGGCCAGGGCTCTGTCTAACCTTATTGCATCAAGGTTCCATTGCTCTGAGCCGTGAGCTCAGCCCCATGGATTCAGTCTATACCTACACATTATTCTTGAAAAACTTTAAGGCCAGTTCTTGATTATGGCCAGGTAGAAACTTACTACGGTACAAATCACCGGATGTCTTGTTAGCTACATCTCTGTGCCAGCTGTTTTCCAAAGTATATTCCTTAGAATGTTACCATTTAAGACGTTCCACAGTCCTGTGCTGCTGAGGTGGTAAAATAGTTTGGGAAAATATAGCACCATACATCCTTGTTTTTTTTACTTTTTTCCCTCACCTGGACATTTTTCCATTTTTTGCTCAGATAGAGTGGGAAGGAGAGAGAGGGAGAGAGAGAGAGACATCGAGTGGCTGCCACCCGCACGACCAACCAGGGCCGGGGACAAACCGCAACCGAGGCACGTGCCCTTAGCGGGAACCAAACCCAGTCTCTCTGGACCGCAGGCCAACACTCTAACCACTGAGCCAAACCGGCCAGGGCTACATCCTTGTTTTGATGATTCTTTTTTTAGTGCATATAAAAATTATAAAAGCTGCACTGAATTCTACAATAAGGTAATTTCTTTAACTGCATTTAGCCTACAGTTTCTTAGGCTTATTACAAAATTTTTAAAATAAAAACATTATTTTTACTCTACTTGTAACTTTTTTATGCCCTTACCAAAAAGAAGAGGAGTATATCAGCTTTATTATTTAGGATTTCATGCTGAATAATAAGGATTAAGAAGGATATAGATACTCAATTTAAAGTTTGTTTTGTTTCTCCTTGTCTCAGTGGTTTTATTGACAGAGGTTGACAAACTCACCAAAGATGCTCAACATGCCTTGCGTAGAACAATGGAAAAGTACATGTCCACCTGCAGACTGATCTTGTGTTGCAATTCGACATCTAAAGTGATACCACCTATTCGAAGTAGGTGTCTGGCAGTTCGTGTGCCTGCTCCCAGCATTGAGGATGTAAGTCAAGTTAAATACTTGGTTTTGTAAAAACCCAGTGAAGTGTATCAGTAATTCAGCAACATCTGTGTTCTGGATGCTAATCATAAGTAGATGCACAAACCAATACATATAGTCGTAAATACCAGACACCAATATAGAAAAGGTGTTCTTTGCTTTAAACTATCTTCTATCTTAAACAAGTTGGTATAGTCAGACCTTGGTTCTCCAACAAGTTGTTCAAGGAAAAATGTCTCTGTTGTTGAACAACCCTTTTCTGCTGATACATCAGCATGACAGCGTCTCTCGGGCCACAACGAGGGCGAGTCAGTTCACTGCTGACCCTCACGTTATCAACATCTCAGGAAATGGTGCTGTGAATATTTTTGTGTTAGTTTTTGCTTTTGTTGCTTGCAAAGTGGCCAATAGCACAATTTTAGAACATAAGGAAGCCATCAAGGGTGCTGATGTTGCTAAGGTGTGAAAGAAACAGTGATCACAGGCGACTGCAGAGGCAGAAAGCTGTTCCCGATGTGGGTGAAGGAGAAGCAGGTGTCGGGGACAGCATCGCAGGGTCAGTGACCTGAGAAAGCGAGGGTGCCGCACGCTGACCTGCAGGACCTGGGAGGCTGCTGCAGCGACTGCAGGGCCGGCGGGGCTGCGTCCACAGACCAAGGACAGAAGTGTCTGTTTACAGATCGACAGCACATTAGACATGTACTGTAGATAAGAAAGGTGGAACGGAATCATTTGGGGGTCTGGAATAAATTCAATTTATATTGTTTCTAATTGGAAAAAATGACTTTTTTTTTTTAAACAAATCACTTCTCTAACAGCCTTCTGGAACAAATACTGAGGTTCCACCATGTTATGAATTTTACTAAACTAGGGAAAACTTAGTTATTTAGTATCTTTACGTCAACCTAAGTTTTTGGTTTTGAAGGAATTTGAGTATGGAAGAAACAGGTTTTGCAAGATGATGTGAAAATACCTACTGCCCAGGTAGGGGACCAAAGTTAGTGTGAAAAAAACATCAGATGCAGGGGTGGTTAAAGTAGGTCTACAGTTTGAATGGAAAAAGACATGCAGGTTATAATCATTAGAATAGCTTCTTTAACCGAAGAGTATGTCTCACACAACTATGAACCTGCTTTTGCCCACCCCTGTATATGTGTATCATTCTTAATAGCTATCAGTAAAAATACTAATTCTCACAATAAACAGCTTTCTTGCTGTTAATGGGTTTGGTGCAATTTTATGCAAAGTAGGGATAATATGTGACATTGTATTAGTTGTAAATGGTAAAATACCTTTATTTTACATTTCAGTTGTAAAAAAAATTAAGGAGTGATACAGTTAAAGGGGTTTATAAAGCAAGCAGGATTACCAGTTTTCACCACTGCCATGGACACCTTGTCTTAGTCCATGCAAATAACACCTTCTTAGTTGTGCAGAGTTCAGCCCAGGCGGCTCAGCTTGGCAGCCCTGCCCATGCCACTGGCCTGGACCCTAAGTCTCCTCTCAGCTGCCCTAAGGAGGCTTGAGACTGGACTTGGAACCAGGTTGTCTCCAGGGCAGAGCCAGCTGCTGCCTCTTCCTGACATCTGGGCTAGACCCCTGGCTTCCTGCGGAAGGGGCGTGGGGGTGGGGTGGGGTGGGGTGGGGTACCAACCACAGGAAAGGGGGATCTATGAAAGTATTACCAACAGAAATTGTTTCCATATACTGTTTGACAGATTACTCATTTGTGTTAATTATTTCATTGTAGATCTGCCATGTGTTATCTACTGTGTGCAAGAAGGAAGGTCTGACTCTTCCTTCACAGCTGGCTCGCAGACTCGCAGAGAAGTCCTGCAGAAACCTCAGAAAAGCCCTCCTGATGTGTGAGGCCTGCAGAGTGCAGCAGTGAGTGACAGCGGCAGTGACGCAGGAAATGTTTTGGAAAATAAGCCCACTGCCATGGCATTCATTGTTTTCTTTTGTCACCTAGGTATCCTTTCACTGCGGATCAGGAAGTCCCTGAAACAGATTGGGAGGTGTACCTGCGGGAGACGGCCAGTGCTGTGGTCAGTCAGCAGACGCCACAAAGGTACCAGTGAGAGATGACTGGGAAGGTCCGGGCAGCGAGGTAGCGCCGCTGAGTTTTAGGTTAGCGGTTTTACACTAGCATCGTGCAATTTGGAAGTATAATTAAATCTTGAATCTAAAGACTAAACTTAAAGAAAAGGGAGGATATAATTTTAGAAGTTTAATGGTTTAGAATAAAGTGGAACCTCTGTTCTAATTTAATTGGTTCCGGAAGGCTACTGGTGAAGCGATTTGTTTGAAAACCAAACTTTTTTTTCCCTTTAGAAATAATGCAAATTGAATTAATCTTTTCCAGACTCCCAAATGATTCTCTATTTTAACCTTTCTCAAGTGCCTGTGATCATTGTTCCATGAGCACTTTCACTTCACGACACCAGCACTCTGGATGGCCCTTTATGTTCTAAAATTGTGCCCGTTGTTGATTCGCCAGCCTGCTCAGTAGCCAGATCAGGCGGACCCCTCTGTCGTACTGCACAATTGTATCTTTTTGAGCTCTGTTCTCACAACTCTCCTTTCCACTCTGTTGCTATCACTAACCTTGGGACCCATGGTGACTTACTGTACATATTTAATAATAATAAGCAACAAGAAAACACAAAAATATTCACAGCACAACTTCCCGAGACGTTAACATCTAAAAATTTAGTGGTAAAATGACTCAAACTTGTGCATTCTCCCCTTTGTCATCTGAGAGGCTCCTGACTGATCCTACAGGTATCACATGAAAGTGGTGTTGATTCCATAACTGAAGTTTTTTTTGACAACTGAAATATTTTTTTCCATGGACAACTTGGTTAAGAGCTGAATTGTTTGGGATGGGAGATGTTCGAGAACCGAGGTTTGCCTCTAGCCGATGTGGATTCGTGGCTTTTATTAAGCTGGTGACATGTAAACGTGAAACTCATACATAACTTAAATCTTGGAATTTTTAATTTTCCTTTTAGGATTTCAGATGACCTAGAATTAATACATTACAGTGTTTTTATTTTTTAATATCAAAAAGAACAATATATAATTTGGTATTTGACACCTCGTATGATAGAAAGACACCAGACTGTGAGTCAGACTTCTAGCGATACAGGCTCTGCTAAGAATGACATTGTGTATGTGCTGTGAGTGTTCAGGAAGTGTGTTCTGACTCATGCTGCACAGTATCTCCACCTGTTCCGTGCGTCCATCGCTCGGTCGTGGCCTTCCTGAGACTACTTCAGCCACCGCCGTCTGATTTCTGAAGCGTGGACTGGGAAGGGCAGTCTGCCCTGCCGCAGGCAGGGTGTCAGTCTGAAGGCCCCCGCGGGAAGCCCGGAGGAGGCCCCGCAGGCCCAGCCTCCTGCTCTCACTGCGCCAGACCTGGGAACCATCCTGGGCTCCAGAGAGGGTGGTTGATTGTTTTAGCAAACGGAGCAGACTGAGTGCAACCACTGATATTGAAGCTTCCCTGGTTTTTAATGAACATAGGCATGGGAAGAATAGTCCATGTTCCTTGTCTTGGGTGATATTTCTGATAAATTCTCATTTTTATAAGAGTCTTCAAAGGGATTATAACATGTACTCTGGCTGTCAGATTGGTGGAGGTGTATAGCCATATGTAATGGGGGCTTAGTATTTCATCAGGGTTTGCTTTGAATTCCTGTAATTCAGCTATTTCGTTGAATAAATTAATAGTATTCACAGTGTCAGACATCATAAGTGGTCTCTTCAGAAAAGAAACCTTGACTTTAGAAAGTGTGCAGTCTGTTTCGTAAAATACTGAGTTTGTGAAGAAATCCCAGCCTTTAAAGAGAGAAAGTTCAAATAAAGCATGTCTTACAAGTCTTGTAGTTTTGTAATGTGTTTCCACACTGCAGCTGACTTTCTTTTTGTTCTGATTTTAAAGAAAAACTGATGATAGTACTAGAACTTACTATTATTATGCTTTAATAATCAGGTTTTCTTTATGAGATATACTACCATGTTGTCTGAGAGTAATCGAGCGTTGGAGTCAGACTTGAATTAAATGTTGCCTCAACCACATGAGTTTTGATGGAAGCTTAAGATCTCTGAACTTTAAGTTTGAGGTTTTTTTGTTTTTTGTTTTTTATTTATTTTTTCAGTAGAAGAGAGTGGTGGTATTTGGAATGAATAGTGTACTGCAGTGAGCTTCACATAGAGTAGGGTTAGAGAAACACTCAGACGTTGGAAGGGCGCCGACTGCAGTCAGACAGCTCTGAGTTTAAGTCATGGCTCTGCTGTGGTCAACTTTGTCAGTTACTCAGCTGCCTGGTCTTAGCGTATTCATCTAAAAAGTATGGAGATAACCCACTCACAGCTTGTGTGAGGACTGAGTTTTAAATTGTTAGTTACAGTGTGTTTGACATAGCAGTCCTTAAAAACATGCTGGATTAAAAAAAAAGAAACTTTTAGTAAGCTTCACTGTGGCATAGTTTCATACTCCTGGATTCCCAGAAAGGGGCTTGAACTTCTACTTTTAAGAATCTTTCATAAATCACTTTTCTGATTAATCTGAAATAATAGAATGTTAGAAAGATTCAAAACACATTTTTCCCGTTAGGGTAGATAAGTATATTTGTAGAGACAGATAAAGATACTTGTTTTATGTGTAGTATTTAGAATTATAATTGTCACTGTGTTTCTTACTGTTTTAAAATGCCTTGTCTATTTCTCCCCTTCTCTCTTTTCCCTCCCAGAAATGTTGCGAGAGGTCTAGAGGAAGGCTCAGACCGAAGGGTCCGTGGTTGCTCGCACTGCCCGGTTCCATGCTTAGTGCAGTGACGGGGCCGCGTGTTTCCTTCCCATGTTGCTTTTCACTTGGCGCCGTGGGCAGCAGCATTATACTGTGTGTCCTCCTTGTAGTCCTTTGTCACTGGCGTGAGTGACCAGTGATTCTTCAGTCTTTTATGACTGTCTTCTAGATGTCCTAGGCGTCACCTCTCTAGGAAAAAAAATAAACGTGTTACTTGATGTGTCATTAAAGTATGTTAACGTCCCTGGTATGAAATAAACTCAACCTTCACTATTCATGAAGTCTCAATTTCTATGTGGTACTCTCATGGTATTTTGATGTAACTAATAATCCTGAATATAAGTGCTGTGTAAGTTTAAAAGAGTTCTGAAAAATTATTTTTAGAAAAATAAATTGAAATTAGGAAAAACTTGTATATGTATATGCTGAACAAGGTAAGCCATTTAAGAATGGCTTTGTTTAATTATTTATGAATTTGTTTAATTCATAAAATAGAACAGCACAATAGGTACTTGGAAAAATTACCTCTTAATTTTATCATAAAATAACTACTTATTGTGTTTTATGTAGGCTCCTTGAAGTTCGTGGAAGACTGTATGAGCTTTTAACTCATTGTATTCCTCCTGAAATAATAATGAAGGTAACCTAATTTCACATCTTGAACATTTTATAAGAATAAAAGTTTTACTCTGGGTGGGTAATCACAGGGCTTTTGTAGCCCTAAGGTAAAATTGTCATCTCTTACCAGTTCATTAATTCAGCAGATATTTATTGAGCCTCTGCTGTATGCCAGGTACCATAAGGCACATGTTGAAGAAAACAGGAGAAGTCCTTACCTTCAGGGAAGTTCCATTTTAGTGGGGTGAGATTGGAAACAAGTGAAGAAGACATGGCTTTAGAGTTGTCTGTCACCCACCTACCGATCTAGATTGATTTGTTGGGAATGCAGGGTTTTTTGTGTATTGCATTTACTTAGTAGTATATACATGAAAAAATGCAAATGATACTAACTCTACCAAAAAAAAGTGAAGGTCTGCTCTTTCATTTCCATAAGGATAACCAGGTGTAACAGACCTCTGTTACAGAAATAAGCCCGTGTGTGTGTGTCTGTGTTTCACAACACTTAACTGTTCCGCACTGTGTTTCTCGTTCAGCGTCGTAGCATGGATGTTGGTTCATGGGAATACATATTTACCTTACTCTTTGCAGTGGATAAATAGGAATCCAATGTAGAACTGTGTCACAGTTTGTTTTTTTATTATGACCCCTATTGGTAGAATTTTAGGTTGTCTTGTAGATTATAATTATAATTAATAATGTCATAGTAAGCTTCCTTGTACTTATATCTTTGCACCCTCATACGTTTAAATATTTGGAATTTGGAATATGCTAGATAATTGCATTTTTACATTATAGAAAAGGGTTTTGTTTTTTTTTGCTTTTGGATGAAGACTGCCAGCCCTTATAAAAGAATTAAGGATTTCACAAGTGTAAAAGAACATACTTAATTTGAGATTTACTTCTGTTTTGATGAGAGAAGTAAAGCTGGTTTGGCTGACGTTTTTAACATCCCTTCTCTGACTGCTGTTGTAGGGCCTCCTCTCGGAACTTCTGCACAACTGTGACGGACAGCTGAAAGGGGAGGTGGCCCAGGTGGCCGCCCACTGCGAGCACCGTCTGCAGCTGGGCAGCAAGGCCATTTATCACCTGGAAGCTTTTGTGGCCAAATTTATGGCCCTTTATAAGAAGTTCATGGAGGATGGATTGGAAGGCATGATGTTCTGACTGTACTGCTAGTATTTCTTCCTGATATGTCTCAGTATTAGTGTTTACATTCAGTTTATATTGGAAGCGCTGCAGGTAAAATAAACTAACTTTACTTAATCTGGTCTTGTTTGTGTTTTTTGTAATAATTTCTCTATGAACAATTAAACATTATTCTCTAAGTTAAATAATTAACTCTTATACTGTTGGAGCATGTTTATTTTAAAGGGCACAGCTAGAAACTTCAAAGTCCAGGAACATGATTTTATTTTAAAAATTTGTTAAGTATGCAATGTTGATCCTCCCATTTTCCAATTAATCTCTCACCCGATGAAGGAAATTTACACATAAAAAAGCAAAAATTGCCTGGCCAGTGTGGTTCAGTGGTTGAGCATCAACCCATGCACAAAGAGGTCGCCAGTTCAATTCCTGGTCAGGGCACATGCCCAGGTTGTGAGCCTGATCCCAGTGGGGGGCGTGCAGGTGGCAGCCAGTCGATGTTCTCTCTCCTTCTCCCTTCCTCTCCAGCATCAATAAAGAAAAAACAAAAAAAGCAGAGATTATTTTCTGTTCTCCAGATGACTATTTTTGGCTACAGGTACATAACAGTGCTTGGCAAGTCATTACTTTTAGTCATATTTTTTCTCAACCAAGAATTAAACAATTAACATGGGTAGCATTTCTATTGAGACTGCAAAATCTAACCTTTATTTCAGTGATTCAGATTTGGTATTAGATTGGCTAGTAAGAAATAAGCATGTTTTCATGAAGTGTTTGAGACTTGAAGAATATACGTCATGTAGTTCCAAAGCAAAGGTATATTATTGTAGCAGTTACTTTTTAAACAAGTACTATTGTGTCATTGGTCTTGTCCTCTGGAACATTTTTTATTCAGAAATCTGGTTCTTGGAACAAAAGGTTTGACAGATTTGTATGTATGACAGGCTCTGAACAATTATTTTAATTTGGGGCAACAAAAGCAAGACTCAAAAACTACACCAGTAAGCTGAAATGAAAGAATGTTTTAAGTTTAAATAAGTTAATACTTGCATAAGGATATTGAGGAAACCTCTTACAGCAGCTTGTGATAAACAGGATTTGTTTAATTGACAGACACAATTACACACAACACACACAAACCTAACACAATTTTAGCCTTATGGAAAATTGTTCAGGTCAAGAGAAATGATGGTTGCTTTTTTTTTTTTTTTTGGTGTTAGTTGGGCCCCAGCTAGCTGCCTCAGTCCTGGGAGTCCCCCATATTAGGAGATATATTGATATTTTAACAAAAATTGGGAAGGTGAGGTTTGGATGATGTAGGACTATTTTAATTTGGAAAAACGAAAACTACGTTTGGAATTACCTTTAAAATTTCAAGTATTGTACTTATGATATGGGTTTCTTCAGAGCAGTGCTTCTCAGAGTGGAATCAACACCAGCATTATCTGGGAACTCAGAAATGTACTCTCAGAGTTCACCCTAGACCTGCCGAGTCAGAACTACGGGCATGAGCCTCAGTGGTCTTTGTGCTGTGCCACCCCTGTTGGTGACTGTAACGCACACCTCGTCTTGGAGAGCCACTGCCCTAGAGAATGCACACTTACAGTCAACAGATACAGGTTAGAGCAGTGGGTCTCAACCTTCCTGATGCCGCGTCCCTTTAATACAGTTCCTCCTGTTGTGGTGACCCCCAACCATAAAATTATTTTTGTTGCTACTTCATAACTAATTTTGCTACTGTTACAAATCGCCATTGGAAATATGTGTTTTCCAATGGTCTTAGGCGACCCCTGTGAAAGGGTCCCACAGGTTGAGAACCACTACTGGGTTAGACATTTGAGTTCCATATGAAAAGAACTTTCTATCAGCAGCTATCTTATGATGATATGGGATGGTTTAGAGCTCCTTATAAGTAGGAAGTGTTCAGGTGGAGAATTGAAGGATGAAATGCTTACTATGTATGTTAGGCATTGCACTGGGTCTTTATATGTATTATGTTACAACTGTGAGATAAGTATTATCTCTTCTATGTAGTAAGAAACAGATTTAGAGAAATGAAGTATAATTTATGCAACAAAACAGCCATTTAAAGTCTACAGTTTAATTTTTAAGAAGTGTATTTAGTGTAATCACCATTGCAATCAAGATAACAAATTCCATTACCCTAAAAAGTCCCTTTCATATCCCTTGGCTGTCAATTCACCCTACCGTGGCCCAAGTGACCACTGATCTGCTTTCTGTCATTATAGATTAGTTTTGCTTGTTCAGGAATTTAATAGTGTTAAATACTGTATGGTCTTTTGCATAATGCTTCATTCTATTATGATTGAGGTTCATCTATATTGTTGCATGTTTTACTAATTTTTAAAATTTTTATTGATCAGTATGTGTATATACTTTTAAAACCCATCCACTTGATAAATCTTTGAGTTTCCAGGTTTGGGTTATTTCGAATATAGTTTCTCCAAATATGTCTGTATAAGTCTTTTTGTGGACATAGGTTTTCATTTCTCTGGAGTAAATACATGGGAATGAAATGACTGGACATAAGATAGATATAAGTTTAACATTTAAGAAATGGCCAAGGTGATAGTAATATTTTACATTCCTACCAGCAATATATGAAAATGCTAGTTGGTCCTATAAACTTAGTTTTATGGATTTTCTATCTTGTCTGTTTTATATTTTATTGATGACCTTTTCTATAAATCTCTGTTAATCCCATTCTTCTACTTTTTATTTAGTTTGCTCTTATATTTCCAGAATCTTGGCATAGATATTTAGATAATTTTTTTCTAATATTTAAAATTAGAAATTTCATCCTGACATCTGATCTAGCTTCCTTCTACAAATATTGATATTTTTGTTTTCCTTCCTATTTAGTTCCAACTATTTTCTAATTTCGGTTGTGATTTTTTTCCTTTGACCAAATGATTACCTGGAAATATGTTAATTTCCAAATAATTGAGATTTTCCAGATAGGTTTTCAAGTCTGTCATTGTTAATTTTCCATCATTTACTGGAAGGAATATTGAGGTCTCCAACTGTGATTATGGATTTGGATTATGGATTTGTCTAAATCGGTTCTTTTGGGTTTTACTTCCCCAAAAGAGCATTTTGAAGCTCATTATTAATTGCATTTATATTTAGAATTGTTATGTTTTCCTAATGAATTGACCCCTGTTTTATTTTGAAATGCTTCTTGTAGTATTTATTGCTCTAAATTTACTTTATCTGATCTTAATATAGACACTTAAGCTTTTTTTAAGTTAAAATTTGCATCATAGGCATAGCTAAGGTCGGCTGGCAATGAATTCTTTTAATTTTTTTATCTGGAATTATTTTGTCTTCATTTATAGAATTCTTGGTTAATTGTTTTCATTTTTTCTTTCAACACTTTGAATATTTTATTCTACTGCCTTCTGGTCTCTGTTATTAATTTTTTATTTTAGTGTTTGAACATTTTAACTCTAGAATTTCTATTTTGTTCTTCATTATCGTTTTCAGTTTTTCTATTGTGATTCCCTATTTGTTTAATTGTTAGCATGTTTTCCTTTATTTCTTTGAACCTATTTATTACAGATTTGCTTTGAAGTCTACTAAACCCAGCAAATGGTCTCACTCAGTGTCAGTTTCTATTGACTGCTTTTTTCCCTGAGTATCTTTATACTTCCTTTTCCCCACTGGGTCTGGTACTCTGTAGCTGAAAACTTTAATGTTAGATCATATATTTTAGCAACTTTGGATTCTCTTTTGTATTCGTGATTATTATGATGTTGTTTTGTTTCTTGTTTCATAGGTTACCTAGACGTCAACTGTATCATTTGTGTTCCTTGCACGGTGCAGCTAATGATGTTTCTGCTCATCTATTACTATTTTAGTCTGGCTACATCCTTCTGTCTGGCTAGTTTAGTGTTCAGCCAATGATTTGGGTAAAGTTTGAGCTCAGGCATCTTAAAATTGAGATTTTAAGTCAGTTGGTTAAAGAACAAATTCAAGATTGCAGCCAGTTCCCAGTATCCCTTGGCTCTCACTTCTCCAGTTTATCTGTCAGGTAATATGTCAGTCAAAAATATAGCCCCTATATTGCTTTTTTGTTTCCAGTATCTCTTAGTTCATTTTATTACCTGATTGATTTTGTAATGTCCATTACCTGGACTTGAAACCATGGGCTAGCAAAACTACAGATTTTTCTTACTGTTTTAGAACTAAGGTTGCTACTTTTATCCACCAAAGCTATTGGTTTACCTTTTTCCACTTGAATTTGTGTCCAATACTCTGACTGCAACTAGCCTTGAACTTACAAAGCTACAATTTTTACTGACCAGTGATAGGCCATAGAGTTATTGTGATTTTTATCCAAAGCTAAATAAACTTTTTAACAATAGACATTTTTCAATTTGTTTTCTGATTTTTTTTTTTTTTTATCCTCACCCAAGGACATTTTTCCATTTTTTGTTCAGACAGAGTGGGAGGGAGAGAGAGAGAAAAAAAAACATCGACGTGAAAGGGACACATCGAGTGGCTGCCACCCGCACGACCAACTGGGGCCGGGGACAAACTGCAACTGAGGTACATGCCCTTAGCAGGAACCGAACCCGGGTCTCTCTGGACCACAGGCCAACGCTCTAACCTCTGAGCCAAACCGGCCAGGGCTTGTCTGATTTTGATCAATTTTCTGTGTACTGATTTGTGTGTGTGTGTGTGACAATCATGTTCACTTTTACAGATTTTTGCATTGGGGAAGCACCCAATTTCAATTAGTAGAAACAGCCTTCCACTGCTGCATCTCTTCATTTAATTTTGTACATCCAAATTGCAATCTGATATTTTCCTTTAGTCTGAAAATGCTTCTTTAGCTTTTCAGTTTGGCGAACTCTCCAGGTTTTTGGTTTTTTGTTAGGGGGAGGTGTTTGGCCAAAATTATCTTTATTTTTCATTCTCTTTTAATCATTTTGAATGGACATAGAATTGTTGCTTGACAGTTTTTCTTGTCTATACCTTAAAAAATATTATCTTTTGGTTTGTATTGTTTCTGAAGATAGTCTTGCATTCTAATCTTTTTCCCTACGTGTTTTTTTCTTTATTTTATTTTACTTCCTATACCTGCTTGTTAAGATGAGCAGCTTGAACATCAACATACCTAAAGTAGAGATGGCGTCGGGCAGGACCAGAGGGAGGGTGAGTGTGTGAGAGAGTGAGCGAGTGTGTGAGAGAGTGTGAGTGGACGTGAAGGTGGATGACCAAATTCCTGCAGTGCAGAGACAAGGAGCAGAGGTTCCTGTGCTGTGGACAGAGCAGCTGGCTACTGCAGTGAGCGGCCCTTCAGGGCGCTTCTCTCTGCACCACGAGGAGGTCCC